GAAATGGTTTTAGTATGTTCTTATGCAGATTATTTCCGAATTCAAGCAGCATAACAAATGTGCAGCCTTTGATTGAACCATATTTGCAATCATTTCCAGAAGAGAGGCTGTGGTAGGCTTCTAGAACCAATTGAATCGTGAAAACAAACGTGTCTTTCAACCTGCAAGAACCTTAGCATCCAGTTAAACTCATTTTGTGTACTAGAGAAATCGCAGATGCCCGTTTAAGAAGTAAGCATCCCCGCCTATCCATCTTACCATATACTGTTTTCTTCCTTCACAGATCTCAACTTATGCAAAAATTTACACTGCAGTATTTATTTTCTTAGGTATTTATTATCATCTCACGCACCTCCAGTCAACACTACCTCTAGAAGAGTAAACACTCAGGGCAGGAGCTTGTATCCCCAGGCCCCTAGAACAGTGCTGAGAATGTCTTTAATTAAACAGGTAAAGATAAACTGAAAATGATAAAAGGTGAAGGAATGATATGCCTAAGATCACACTGTTCATCAACAGTAAAACTCAACAATTAATCTTCATTCTAGTGCACTTTGTACCGTCAGAATATGAGTAAATGAATGAATGTAAACGCCGCTACACACTACTTCCAGATTCCTAATTGAGGAGTTGGAGCAACACACCCAAACTCTAGGTATAATATAACCCACAGAGATGTCAATAATTAAACATACGATTCTATAACGTGTATGTCAGACGAAGGGAGAAGGAAGTTTGCTCAACAATATCGAAGTGTAGGCAAAGGGTGCAGCCTTGGCCTCATCTGTGTTATTATTCTAAAGTGTACACGAAACTAAGTTACTCTGGTATCAGGCTGCTTCTCACTATTATTCAGTCCCTCTTGATCATTTTCAAATGCAGCAATTACACTTTTTTGAACCCCAGTAAAATCCAGTACAATCTCATTGTGGTTAAATTTTGAGGTAGGGAAGCTTCATTTCCGATAAATATTTTGAATAGGAAAAGAACCTAATGAGAGAAAATGTAAAAATTTTAGGAACATCGTAGAATATGGAAAAGACAGACATTTTATCAGTATATAGTTTCTAATATATTCTATATTTAGTGAAATACAACCATTTAAAGCATTGAAAATATTGTTCTTAAAGAAATATCAAATAAAACTGCATTTAGGGTAAAAAAACATAAACTGTTAAACATAATGATTCATAAGTAGAGAATACTTCCTGACTTTAAACGTGGATAATGACCAACATAACTTTGCAAGTGACCAGATGGTAAATCATTAGTTTGGATTTTGAAGCATAGTACATAATCTAACAAAAATGGATGTGACTGGAATCACCTTATAGAGGAAATACTTAAAACATCCTTTTATGAAATGATTGACCAAGTAAAAAAATAGCAAGCTGGGAACTTAAAATCCAGGTCTCTGTCTCCCACCAGAGGCATACTACTTGCTGACATGTGACTTTTGATGAGGACCGCAGCAACCGAAGAGTGTGCTTGAAAACCCGAAATTATTTGAAACAGATAGTAATTTCGTCCCAAATAAAATGCAATTATAATTTCATAAAGCATGCTCAAAGATAACCGTTCACACTACTTAAGAACCCATAGTCGAGCCAAAAAACAAAACAACATTACTTTTAACTACCTGCCCTTCATGCTAGGCATCTGCTAACAAGCACTCACATATTTATCTCTATAAATCTTCCTAACAATCCTTAGAGGTAAAAATATTGTCAATTTTAGAAGATCAGTCCTCTATGTCCTATTAGAGATATCCAATTATGAAAATATTAAAATATACATTTCACAGTTCAAAAAAAAAAAAAAAAAAAAAAAAAAAAAAAAAAAAAAAACATTTTAGTGTTGTTTAGTGTTGTTTGGGGACATTAAAGAACCCTAACTTAAAAAAAAGAGAAAAGCAACCTGAAATAGATAAGACGACAAAGGTTTGTGCAAGGGCCAGGTTATAACTCTCAGACATCCACAAGGCACAAAAAGAAAACCTCGTTAGTCAGGTTTGCACGGGCTCCAAGCAGGGTCTCCAGCGAGCCCGGAGTCCCTGGGAGCTTAGCGCAGGACGGTGGCTGTACCTGACAGCTACTGGTAAGGCACTCTGGCCTAGAGCCGGGGGAGGAGGGCCGGAGGCGGGGCCGACTGGAAGCAGCAACCATAGCGAAGCTGCAGGATTTCCGCGGGGTGGGAGCTTGTGTCGCCGGAAGAAAGCGGCTCCTGTGGCAGATGTCTCGTGATTGCTCTGGGAGTTTTGCTTTGCCACTTGAAACTACAGAAGAAAGAAGGATCTAGCGAAATATGGCTACGGAGGGCTCTGCCACGCGTCGAATCCAGGTGGCAGAACATCCCAGGTGGGGGAGAGGAGATGCGCGCTTTGGGATCGCCTGGGCTGGTTTAGGTGTAGTTAGGGTGCACTGCTTTTGGTTCCTTCTCTGGGGCTCTGGTTTTGCCCCCAGGGAGTAGGCAGAACTCGTGGGATTCTATAAGGCTACGTGGCGACGCTTGCAAGAAAGATCCCGGCGCAAACACATTCCACCTTGATTGCTAACAAAGGTTGTGTGTTTCTTGCTTCACCCTTTCTTGCTGAAGCTGGTACATTCTTTCTACTGGGCTTCAGCATAAATGCCCAAGTCAGCTTTGAACTCCTCTCTTTGATTTGCCTGCCAGTTGATAGGTGGTTTTATAAAAGTTCCTTTTCTAAATATCCATCGAAAACAAACACTGAAACCTCCTTGTCCTCTACATCCTCTTAAAAAAAAAATTACAGGAATCTCTGAACTGTCAGGTAGGAAATTAATTTGCTGCGGGTCCCTAGCTACAGAATAACTAACTAATAGTTTAGTAATGTCTAGGGGAGAATCTCTTCAATTACAGGTACTTAGTAGCAATCTTCCTTCTGATTTATGGGGCTGAAAGGACTTAAAAGGGTGAAATCTCATAAAATGAAGTCTCTCACCTGCTATTTCTGAGGTTGGCTTATCTCCCCCTTTGTTGTTTTTAACCTATTATTTTCTGTTAACTTTTTTCTCTGATATGAAAGTCCTTAAGCTTTCCCCACTTCCTAGTTTATTACTATCATGTGTCAGGTGACAATGTTATACTTTATTACAACTTGAAAATGTTCTTTCAGCCTTTAACCAGCAAACAGTGTGTTACCCAAAAAGTTACCAGAAACAAACATAATTTTTTTTGTTTATATAATTTTTATTTATTTATTTTAAAATTTAAAAAAATTATTTCCTGGACGAGGTTCTGGGGCCCTAAGAGAAGGGGGCGGCCTAGAAGTCGCCCCAAATATAATTTTTTATTGTAGAGACCAGCACGTCTTGGACTACTTCTGAATGTCTTTGAATATTTTAATATACTCTAATGGTCCTTGCATAGTACTGTTGCCCTTATATATTTGAATAAATTAGGACACATTGTTAAAGACATGCTCCAAATAAGATTCATGAGGAATTTGTTACAGGAAAATAACCCAACCCCTGGAAATTTAGTCTTTTACATAAAACATGTCCAATTTCTGTGTTTCCATTTTATCTGCATTCATCATAAAGATCAACATTTCTATAGTTACCCTGTGGGGCAGAGAGGAATAGTGGTGTCAACAGAAAAGAAGCCAAGCTCCCTAAAGTAATTTAACGAGGTTTATTCTGAGCCAAATTTTAGGACAATGGTCCCGTGCCACACCCAAGAAGCCTTGAGCAAGTGGACTCTGAGATTGGGTTACAGCTTGACTTTATACATTTCTGGGATACTGGGATTACAGATAAAGTCATAAATCAATACATGGAAGGCACACATTGGTTTGGCCCAAAAAAGTGGGCCATTTGAAAGTGGGTGGGTTGTAGGTTCTAAGTGGGTTTAAAGACTCTTTGACTTGTAATTGGTTAAAGAAAAATGTAGCTTTGTCTAAAGGTTTGGAATGTTTGAAGTTAAGATAAGGAAGTTGGCTAATCTGAAACTACTGGGCCATATATTTGTTCTGTAAATTGAAGACCTGCAGGTTTGTCTTGTATAGCCTTGGGCCTGTTGCAATAAGTTGCAAAGGATGTCCCCAAATTGAGAAGGGGGCATGATGAGATACATCTGACTTCCCTCCGCATGGCAGGCAATTCAGTTTTAGGGTATCTCCTTGGCCTAGAGGGAGTCCACTGAGTCAGTGGGTGGGTGAGGGGGTAGCTTTAAGATTTTACTTTAGTTCACAGTGGTTGTAAGTACAGGTACATGTACTAAAAGTAAAAAATTGTTAATAATTTCCTTAGTGTTTTTCCTTGCCTTTCATATTTTTATTGTATTCATCCATGCAGTATTTATTGTTAATACTTATTCTGTGTTAGTCACAGAGATCATAATAGTCAGATAAGCTCTGCTGTTTTCTTGTTTTTCACTTGTGTATGCAATACAATTATTAGTTTCAAACAATGTTCTTTTTTGAGACAGAGTCTTGCTCTGTTGCCTGGGCTAGAGTGCCATGGCGTCAGCCTACCTCACAGCAACCTCAAACTCCTGGGCTCAAGTAAGCCTACTGCCTCAGCCTCCTGAGTAGCTGGGACTACAGGCATTCGCCACCATGCCCAGCTAATTTTTTTTCTATATATTTTTAGTTGTCCAGCTAATTATTTTTCTATTTTTAGTAGAGATGGGCGGTCTCACTCTTGCTCAGGCTGGTCTCAAACTCCTGACCTTGAGTGATCCTCCTGCCTCAGCCTCCCAGAGTACTAGGATTACAGGTGTGAGCCGCCACGCCTGGCCAGCAATGTTTTGTTTGCAAGAATCTTTTGAAGCCACTTATTAATTTTAGGAAGGGTGAGTTTTGTTAAATCTGGATAGTATAACCTATAAATCAAATGGTGAAAGGGAAAAAAGTGAATGAGGGCCCCAAGGTCAGTCTATCTCCTTGTGGAATTCCTGCTCTTTCTTCAAGGATGCCTCTTCAACCTCACATGATCCTCTGAGTAAAGGCACTAGTTAACCATATTATACATTTTAGAAAACTTAACTTTTTTATTCTTTTTGCATAAAAATCAACTAGAAATACAAGTGCTAATATTTTCTTTCTGCATCCCACTCTTGCATGCTTCCTGTACTGTAAGACTTCAAATTTCACTGTTCTAGCTTTCTTTGCATTGGTAGCAGTGGTATCTCTATTTTCTTTTTTGGGGGGATTAAGTTTTGAATTGTTGGATTATAATTATTTTTTGTAACAGCTTTATTGATATCCAAATACAATATAATTCACCCATTTAAAGTTTGAGATTAAGTGGATTTTAGTAATTCACAGAATTGTGCAACTATCACCATAATGAAATTTAGAACGTTTTCTTCACCTCAAAAAGAACCTGGCATCCCTTAAATAATCACCACTGGGACTCCTATTCCCTGCCTCCCCTCAGCCCTAGGCAACTGCTAATCTATTTTCTGTATTTATAGATTTGGTCATTCTGGACATTTCTAATAAATAGTATTGTATATATATGTATATTGGGTGACTGATTTCTTTCACTTTATAGTTTTCAAGGTTCATGTTGTAAAATGTGTCAGTATGTCATTCCTTTAAATATTCTTTTTTTTTTCTATCATGCCTTTATTAGCTGGATTATGTTTGCCATTTATTTTTTATTTGTATATGTTTATAGTAGAAGTCCAATTTTGCTACATTGATATATTGATATGTTCAGTTATACTGCATCATGGTGAAGTCAGGGCCTTCAGTGCATGTATCATTGGAGCAATGCACATTGTACTCACCAAGCAACTTCCCATCATCCATCTCCCTCCCCACCATCCCTCCAGGTCTCCATTGTTCATCATTCCACACTCTGTTTCCATGTATACACAGCATTTAGCAACCATTTTTAAGTGAGAACATTCAGTGTTTGTCTTTCTGTGTCTGAATTGTTTCACTTAAGATAATGGCCGCAAAAGGCATGATTTGATTATTCTTTTACAGCTGAACAGTATTACATTTTGCATATATACCACATTTTCTTTATCCAGTCCTCTGTTGATGGCCACTTAGATGATTGTGTAATTTTGCTATTGTGAATAATACTGTAATAAACATGGGAGTACAGGTATCTTTCTATGTATATATATATATATATATATATATATTGATTTTAACAATGTAGGAGAGTTCCCTTTTCTCCAGATCCTCACCAACATGTTATTTTTCATCTTTTTAATTATTAGTTATTTTTATTGGTGTAAGATGATATCTCATTGTGGTTTTAATTTGCATTTCTTTGATGATTAGTGATGTTGAACATTTTTCATATGCTTGTTGGTCATTATTTGTCTTCTTTCGAAAAATGTCTATTCATGTCCTTAGTCCACTTTTTAATAGGGCTAATTGTTTTTTCTTTGTTGTTGAGTTGTTTCAGTTCCTTGTAAATTCTGGCTACTAGTCCTCTGTCAGATATATAGTTTGCAAATATTTTCTCCCATTCTGCAGGTTATTTGTTCACTCTGTTTATTATTTCCTTTGCTATACAGAAGCTTTGTAGTTTAATTAAGTCTGTTTATATATTTTTGTTTTTGTTGTCTGTGTTTTGGCCTAGAAAATGTCTAGAGAAATTTTCCCTAGGTTTTCTCCCAGAATTTTTGTAGTTTCAGGTTTTTTTTTCTTTGTAGGCATGAGGAATGTTTATACTGGCTCTTTTGGGTGTATACATTAAAAGCAAAATCAGAAAGGAATCATGTAAAAATCAGGTTGCCCATGCAAGCACCCCAGAGTCTAATCCTCTCCTCTCAGTTCTGTTGTCAGGCCTCTTTAATCCATCTTGATTTCATTTTTGTATGTGGTGAGAAATAGGGGTCCAGTTCCATTCTTCTGCATATGGCAATCCAGTTTTCCTAGCACCATTTATTGAAAAGGATACCCTTTCCCTGGTGTATGTTCTTATCAACTTTGTCAAAGATTAGTTGGCGATAAGTAGGTAGCTTTATTTCTCGGTTCTCTGTTCTGTTTCACCCATCTATGGGTCTATTTTTATGCCAGTACCATACTGTTTTGGTTACTACAGTCTTATAGTATAATTTAAAGTCAGGTGAAGTGATGGCTCCACCTTTGATGAAGCTTTTTGCTTCAAATTGCTTTGAGTATTCCAGCTTTTTTTTGGTTTCATGAGAAATTTAGAATTGTTTTTTTCTAATTCTATGAAAATGATGTTGGTATTTTGATAGGAATTGCATTGAACCTATTAATTGCTTTAGGCAGTATAATCAATTTAACAATTATAATTCTTCCAATCCATTAATGTGGGATGTTTCTTTATTTTTTGTGTGTGTTATCTATAATTTCTTTCATCAGTGTGGTTTTTTAAGTTTTCCTTATAGAGATATTTTA